AAATCTCGGTGGTGGATGACCCACGCCTGCGTCTATTTTACAACCGGCTGCACAGCATGTTCGAATCAGATTTGTTGAAGGTGATCATTTTTCATCTCTGGATCGACGAGGATGACTCTAGGACGTGGTTCAGCAATGGGAGGGACGAGCTTGAGGCCAGAGGATGTCGAAGTGTAGAGCTCGCGGAAAGGTGGCTGTATGACATAAGTCATGTCCTAAAAAGGTGAAGCCGACAGGGCACTGCACCAGGGCCGTGTTGTTGATAGTGGGTCCGATAACGAGATTAAAGACCTCTTGCTTCAAGCTTTTTCTTCCAATTTCTTCCTCATCACTGTCCTGCACATAGAGTCGACCATGGCTGCTAGCTCCTCATCGGGCTATGGCTTGCCACCGCACCCCTATCTACACACCTCGGGGGAGTCCTTCCTCTTCATCGACCATCTGCCAAGCCATGTCTCGGAAGAGAATATAAAACAAATATTCCAGGACCCCCAACTTCGCGCGACCCTCAGTTTCAACCGCAGCAAGAATCGCCGCAAGCGCGGTGCCCTCCGTCCCCGCGTCGACTTTTCGGACCTCAACTCAGGCACAAGGACCCTTACGTCTTTCTAAAAATGTCGCTGATTTATAATTTTTATAGCTGAAAAAGCCCTGGCGACGCTGCACCTGCGGCCAATACCCAACCTCGAACCGCCGGTCATCCTCAAGTTCTGTACTACGGCCAACCTCAAAGCCTTCGAAGCGCCCGACCCCGCCGTGTTCCCAAGAGTAATTAAAATGCTGCCAGCCGGATGTAGCGAGGCGACACTCTACGACGCTCTCCGGCCATACGGATCGCTCTACTCTGTGCGCATTGATCCAATCGCCGGCGGCCTGGTGCAATTTTGGACCGAGGACAACGCCCAGGATGCTGAAATCTGCCTCGTGGCCGCGCAGCCCAAGATGGTGCTGCAGGCGTACGACCCGTGCTCGCTGTTCTGCTCTGTACGGAGTTTCGACTATTCTACCGAGTCAACCACGTTGAACCATCCGCAGAATATCAGTTTCGATCTCAATGCCGCTGCTCTCCGAACCCATTTTACCGAGGTGAGGATTTCTGATCAATTCAACGCAGCTAATTGTAGTTAGTTCGGTACAATCATCAGGTTCGCCTTTTCCTTCCCGTCTCTTCCCTCTTGTTTTAAACTTCCTCCAGCACCGAGATCATCACTAATCTGCAAACCGGAAAAAGTCGAGGCATCGGCTTCGTTACATTCTTGCTTGCATCTGAAGGTAGGCAGGGAACGCACAACTCACGAACAGCCGACTTGTAGTGCTTACGTATCTTGCAGCATCTGCGGCCATGGCGGCGATGCATGGGGCCGAAATACAATGGCGATCCCTCTCGGTAACGTATCGGGTGCTGAAAAAAGGGAGTGACGCAAAGCCAGAGCCACCCCGACGTGATATTCCTGCGGAGACCAAGCGCCCGACACCGTCCCCGAAACCCACGACACCGTCGTTGAAACCAACACGTCCACCTCAGACGAACAACGAACCCTCCACCACCAACAAACTGAATATCACCCAATTAAACGACAAGATTAAGACCCTGGAGGGGCTCTACGCCGCGGAGGTGGAAGAGCGGACGGCAGCACAGGCCGAGAATGCGCGCTTGCGGGACGAGTTGGAGAGCACGAAGCGCGGGCTGGAGATGGCTGAAAGCAGGCTGAAGATCTTGCAGCTCGAAGCGGACCGCCCATTGTGGGAACGCGCGAAAAAGAAACGCGAGGAGGACGAGAAGGCGGAGGTCGCGAGGGATGAGCAGCGGCGCCGCGCGGCGGAGCTCGAGGAGTCACGCCGCAAGATGCGCGAGTTCCAGGCGCAGGAGAAAGAGCGCAAACGCGCTGCGGAGGAGGCCGAGAAGGCCGAGCGCCTGCGCCGCGAGGCGGAGGAGAAGGCCCGCCAGGAGAAAGAGGAGCAGGAGCGCAAGGCGCGCGAGACGGCTGAGCGCGAACGAAAAGCGAAGGAGGCGCGCGAAAAGCGCGAGCGCGAGCAACGCTGGAAGGCCGCGACGCAAGCGGAGGAAGCGCGGTGCGCGACGCGCGACGAACAGCGGTGGGGCGCCGGCGCGTGGACGCCTGCCCGCGCGCTGGAGCGGCTGCGCCTCCAGATGGACGAGTTCGACAGGATCAAGTTCTCCGAGGCCCAGCCGCTGACGTTCCGCATAATCCCGTGGCCGGTTCTCACTGACCCACTTGACTTGGACGTCGAGCAGATTGACTGGGATGCGGTCGAGACGTTCTTTGCGCGTGCCAAGGCGCAGATGGCGGACAACGTCGCGGAGTACAACAGCCTTGTCGAACGCGTGCATCGAATGTTCCATCCGGACAAATGGAAGGCGCGGGGCATGCTCCTCACGGTGATGAACGAGGGATTGAAGGATGTGTTGGAAACGGCGGGAAACGTGGTCGCGCAGGCCATGACGCCGCTGTGGAGGAAGTCGAAAGGGTATTCTTGAGTTATATAACGAGTCGCGAATATGCCGGAGATACTGTCGCATTATATGCGTTCGGTAGACATTTTGACCAACCCTTGTTGTCGTCTACCTTCGGTAAACGTTGTTTAAGACAATCGGAGGGTAAATCGGAAGCCTTTGGGCTCACTGAGTTGAAGGCGCATGCTACGGGGGTAGGACAGTGTGTGATCTGATGTGTCACTGGCAGGACGTGTTACCGCCGTCAACCTGGGACTCGAAACGTGAGGGCGTTGGAATTGATTTGATTCAAAAGCCGGCCTTGCCACATCGGCGGCGGGGGCCTCTCGGGCGAGGGCTTCGGTCGATTACCCACTTGGTGTTGCCGCCATCAGCCTGTCGGTCGAAAATCGCCGAGTGTTGTATTATTAAGAGCATCTCACAACGTATCTGATCGGTCTGAAAGCTTTGAGTAATCACTTACCCCTCTGAGTCGGGCGGCGGGCGTTGCGCCTTCAGGTACCGCGCGAGATTCCCGGCCAGATGGTTGTGCCCAGAACATGTCGGGTGGAGACTCTCAACCGTCATCCCAGAGCCTATATCACAGCAGACCCTAACATCAAGAGCATCTACAGCGAGCATATTTGCGACAAGGTCTGCATGGATCGCACCCGCATCGGGCTCCTCGAAGTCGCGGAACGGAGGCTGAATTTTCCATTATATGCTGTTATGTAGCAAAATAGAAACACGCACGATAACATAGAACGCCTTGACGGAGGGGAACGTTGCCGACAGTGTTCGTATCAATCGTTCGAGCGTGGATCGGAATATTTGGGGCAGAACGTCGTTGGCTTCATCGTTCGTACCTTGTTGCCCTTTTGAGTGAGGCTTTAAGTCGGGCACGGTAGCATTGCTTACCGAGCGCAAAGCATATAAATTGAGGGCTTCCCCAGGGAGTCCATGGGGTGCCTAATGTGAAGCTCACGTGAAAGAATCGATCCACCATCCCCGTAACAAGAGAGGACCCAGAATCATCAAGACCGACAAGGGAAATCCCTGGGTATGCGACGACGTCAAGAGAAAGCAGGTAAGAATGCTTCTCCCTGAGTATCGATATAGTCTGGGATGGGAAGGCATCTAAAATTCCGTGTGGGACGGGTTGTCCGCCGTCAGACGCCTCCAGGGCCAGGCCGCAAGTCATAGAATCGCCAAAAAACAAAATCTGGTGATTGGCCACCGTCAGATCTCGGTCCACATGTTCTGTCCGCTATGTACGTGTTGAAATGTTGAACGTGAGAATGCCGCGAACGCGAAGGAAATAACACATACATCGGAGATGAAACCGTCAGTCTCTAGTATCGACGCCCAGTCAATCAGAGTTATCTCCACGTTACATGAGATAGTCTCCCCCTCCTCATCCTCTCCGTTTTCATGCTGCTGGATCGGCTCATCCCAGAGTTTAATCACCATTCCGGGCTCCGCGTCGAGGGTCCTTGTTTCCACGACAGGGTTTCCCTTTGGCGAAGCGGGCTTGGTGCCAGAAACAGCCAACATGGGCGTCCCGCCGTTCCAGCGGTCCTTGCGCTCTGTTTTGGGCCCAATTATGATGGTCAATGCCAGGAGATGGTCGGTCGAGAATTTTTGGAAGAGCCGGCCCACGCAGACCACATTGCGCCGTTTTCAGAATATTCCCAGCGACTAGATAGAGTCAATTTCGAGCGCAGGTACGGGATCGCCAGAAGACAGGAGTGAGGAGGAGGTTGGGCCATTTCCAGTAAATAGTTCCGGTTCTGGTCTCCCGAGGGGAACGAGGTGGTGGCAGGAGACAAAAGGTGTCGGCCGGGTTCGGTAATCCGGAATTGATGGGCTGTGTAGCAGCTGATCCGGTATTTTCCGGCTCTATGTTCAGACGAGAGTCTGAAGTTGATCCTCATTCAGCTAATTAATTAGTCTCTGAGATTGGCTGGGCTGTGAATTACCAGTGAAACGGAATTAATTGTGACTCGTTGCGTTACATACTATGTTGCGGTACGAGAGGCGGTGCTGAATCGTCAACGTTATAAAGACCGAGAATGGTGGACTCGGACAGGTATTTATGCTTGAGTACTTGAGTGTTGGAAGAAAGGCTCGGCGGTGGATTGTCTACCCTCCTATTGTAGTGGATCGGGAAATCATGCCGAAATAACCTGTTCGAGTCAGGCCCGAGCCGTTTGTTGAAGGCGACCATTTTTATCTCTGGATCGACAAGAATGTTTTTGAAGTAAAGGAAAAAGGATTTAAAGGCTCGGTGAGGTGCACGCCTGCTTCTTATCGTTGATTAGACATAAGCCGTCTGTTCGCGAGCTCTTCGTTTGCGACCAGTAATATTTTCCGGAGAAATGCTGCAAGACTCGGTGGTGGGTGGTCCACATCTGCTCTGCATAGTCAAGCTATAAAAAACAGCAGGAGTCGTCTGCTCGAATCAGCCCGAGCCATTGGACATCTTTTTGCCTGGTAACTATCCGAAAAAACCTGCATAAATCGAGGTTGAGTTCAGGCTAAATAAGGCTCGGTGGTGGATGTCCACACCTACATCCTATGAATGAGAAGCCCTAAAGTCATGTAGGAGTCGTCTGTTCGAATCAGGCCCGAGCCATTCGTCCGACAGGATCAAGATTTTTTTCCGGGAAGGGGAGAGGAATGTGGCATAAATTGAGGTTGCATTCAGAGTCAATAAGGCTCGGTCGTGGATGGTCCACACCTACATCATATGGGTGGTAAATGAAGCCGTGTATGTAGGAGTCTGTTCAAATCAGGCCTGAGCCATTCACAAGGCGGTTCATTGTCTTTTTCTGCCGAGAGTACCACATGGTTCGTTCACTGACCGCGGCGAGACTACTTCGAAGATTATTATCGGTGCCGCTGGGAAAATGAAACTTTCGGCTCAACAGCATCTTTGTCCGCTCGCTCAGGTTTAACCGCAGCGGGCCAGAGTGCCTCTTACATCAAGAGCTTTTTTTTTTCTCCGAGGGCATCCGAGTCGCAGCGAGCGTGCGGTACGTATGGCAGGCCTAGATATAGCCAAGACCAAGGGAATTCCCAGAAGACTCACCGCTAACTGGCGCCTGCAAATGCAAACAAAATGTTGTGAGCTTTGCTGAAGTCCGATAGGCCCGTCGACGTCGGAATCGGTACCCCGAGCTGAGGTTGTGTGAGAGGTTGGTGGCGGTGGCGCACGCTGCCGTACAACAGGTCCAAACACAGGCCTGCTCCCTCCTCTCACGATGCGCGTCGCAGAATGGGCCCCCATTCGCGCCCGCGGTTCGGCCTGTCGGGGAAGGTATAATGCTCACGCGTGGATGGGTTGAAGAAGACGCGTCAAGTCGATCAACCGGCCAGACTTGACAGGCCCAAATGGGTTACCCAAATTATTTAATTATAATAATTACTGGCGGACTGCTGCTCTCTGCCTGCTGCCACTGCCAAGATGACCTTCGCGATGCTGCGCGCGCTGCACACCATCCTCGGCGACGCTCTCAACGACATCGAAGCCGTCTACGCCCTGGCCGACCCGTCCCCGCCGCCGCCGCCGTCGCACAGAAAGGCCCCGTCCGTCTCCAGGGCATACGCCAGCCCCCCGCCCTCGCCGTCGTCTCCTCTTCCGGGCCACACCGCCGCCAATCCCCCGCGCCTCGACTTCCCCTCGCTCGACGCGCCGTGCGACCCCGCGTCCCCCAGCGAGCAGCTCACCGGCGCACCCCGCTGTCGTCGCCGCCATCAACCGCATCGTCGCCGCCGCGGGCCAGCTCGCCGCGTCCGTGCAGGTGCCCTTCCTCTCGCTCTGCGACGCGAGCATGGGGTACCACCTCCCGGCCTGCCTCCGCCTCCTCGGGGCCGCGCACGTCCCCGAGCTCCTGCGCGCGGGGCCCGTGCACGTCCGCGAGATCGCGGCCCACACGGGCGTGGAGCAGGCGACGCTCGGTGGGTGCGCTCTTCTTGATAGGTGACTAGCGTGCTGAGCTGCATCGCGCAGCACACATCCTCCGCCTGCTCGCGACGCACCACCTCCTGCGGGAGGCCGCGCCGGACGTCTTTGCCAACCGCATTAGCTCCCTCCTCGACACCGGCAAGCCGCTGTACGCCCTCGTCGCACAGTGTGTTCCTCTCCTCTTCTCATCTTGTCTCTGTTCAGCCTCCTTCCTTGTCTCTCCTTCCTCTCCTCGCGCTCTCATCTCTTCGCGCGTTTCCTTTTTTTCTTCCCGTTTTTCCAGCCCACGCGCCTCCTGTGCTTCAACCCATTCGGCCTCTCACTTCACTCCCATCATTTCCGTGTCTCCATTTCCATTTCTCCATTTCTCAACGCCACCCCCTCCTCGCGCCCCTCCTCGCCTCCCTCGGCCCCGTCACACTGATTACCTGTTACTTTCTACTTCTCATCTCACTTTGACACCGCGCTTCCATTACGTGCGCCCTTCCCCGCCCCGTTCCTGCGTCCCTCCGGCGTCTTCCTGACGCGTTGGGACTTCCTGTCCGCGCTTCGCGACTTCGCGTGCGCCCGAATCGGCCTCGGCTCTCGGTTTTGCAACGTTCGGGGTTTCTTTATTCGCTCAGGCCGTTTTCGGTTTCTGGTTTCCGGTTTCCGTTGTGTCCTGTCGAACCGGGCTCGTTTCTGCGAGGTTGGGTTTCCGTTTCTGTTTCCGTTTTTTGGCGTGTGTTAGTCGGTTCGCGGGTTTCCCGTCTTGGTTTATTCTGCTATCTGGTTCTTTCGCATCCTCCTGGCGCATCACATCGTTCCTGTTCTCACATTCACGTTCCCATCTCCTTTTCCTGATCATGCTCTCATTCCTTTCCCGAATCCTTCCTTTCTTGAATTACTACCTACTACCAACCCATCCGACGGATGGACGCGCTGACCCCCCTTTTTTCTCTCTCTTGTGGCAGCCCGGAGCACAAGTATGAGGACGACATGAGCGGCGTAGCGGCATTTGTTGGGCTTCGGTGGGTCGCTTTCTTTGCTTTGTTCCTTTGCTTTTTCCGGTCGTGTTGGTTTCCTTCTTGGTCACTGAGTTGTGTTGATTTTGGGTTGTCGGCGGGTTTGGTTGGTTGGTTGGTTGGTTTCGTTCGCCACGCGGGTCGGTTATCTGCTCCGCGACTTGCATCCCGCTCTCGGTCCTTGCTCGGTGTGGTCCGCTGCACGTTGGTTGGGTTTCCGTTCGATTTTTTTTATTCCGTCGGACGCGCGTCGTGTTCTGCGGCGTGGGCGGGCGCATATATGCACCTTTTTCGCGCATATACGCACTCTCCGGACGGGGCTGGGCTGCTGGATCGGATTCTTGATTCCCGATTCTTAACGCAGGATTTCGAACTCCGCGTTGAGGTGGGTTTGTTCGCAGCGTATGCTTTCGGACGCCTATACATACCCTGCTGCGCCTGCGTTTGGGCGGTTCGGACGGGGTGCATAGCTACTTTTATGCTCAGATATACGCGCCTTTTTTGCGCATATGTGCCTGCTTTTCGCTACGCCCATTTGGCTCGTTGTCTTTCCTTCCTTCCTGCCTTATTTCATTTTCATTTTGATCCTTGTACTGATGTTTTCATTTCATCTTCCCGCAGCACGGACGAGTTGTACAAGTCGAGCGCGTACAGTCGGTCTTCCCCGGCGCGGCGCGGCTGTATCCTACTTTTGACGCGCCTGCTGCGCCCACGCCCAGTAAGAACGGGGGCACGGGTGCCGACACGAGCGCCAGTGCAGCGGGTAATGGCGCGAGCCAAGGGAGCGACCCGACGCGCGCGCCGTTCAACTATGCCTTTGGTTGCGGGGCCGTGGGGTACTTTGCGGGGCTGGAAGGCGAGGGGTGGGCGCCAGGGGCGGGGGCGGGGGCGGGTGCTTGAGCCGGCGGCGGGGCGAACGAGAACGGGGGCGGAAACGGGAAGCCAAGTGCGAACGGGAAGACACCCGGGAGCGGGAACCCGAACCGGTTCCGGCTGGAAGGCGATGGCGGGGACGGGGAGCTGGGAGGCGCCTGGGGCGGTGTTGCATGGTGGATTTGTGTTCTTGCTTTCTTGCGTTCTCTCCTTCTCCTGCTTTTCGTAGTCCTTTTTTCTTTCTTCATTTCTACACCTTTTGCTGCCGTCCCTGCCGCCGCCACGCGCCCCGTAGACGCTGCGTCAGCTCCACCAGCACCCGAGCCCGCCGTCGCCCGGGCCCTCGCGCATCCGCGCGCTCACGCGCCGCGCGTCGCACACGCAGCTGCAGCTTCCGCAGACGGAGCTGCGCACGCGCTCGGGGAGCGTCGTACACCCTGCGATGGCGCGCGCCGCAGGTGGCGCGGGGTTGGGGAGCATCTGCGGACGCGGATGTGGACAGCGAGAGCGCGGACGACGAGATCCTTTCCGGGCGTGCGTCGCCGGTACTGTTTTCCGCGCGCTCGGTCCTGGCGGCGGCGGCGCGCATCGAGCGCGGGATCCCGCGGTCGCCTTCGCCGGACCCTTAGAAGCTTTTTATGGTTTTTCCTCGTCTGTTTCTTTTCCTCGTCTGTTTCTTTTCCTCGTCTTCTGGGTGTGCATATCCTCTCTTTCTTGTGCTAAATGAATTACAATGGTCTCTGTCGTGTAGTTGCTCGGTATGGCGTTCGGTCTTTATGTATTACAGTTATTAGGGTCCTGTTATCGCTATAAATCATTATTTCTGTAGGCGGGGAAGCGGTGAGATCCGCCTTTTATTTTAGGTGAGCGATGTCTGCTGTGTCGAACGTTAATGTTGTTTACGAATGCTGCCTGAAGCTCATTAAGGTCATAGACATAATTAATATTCAAGTCAAAATTACTGCTTCGAGAAGGCCGCGAGCACCAGCAGGGCGTTAAAATGTCAACCGAATGCATGTGCGACAGCATCTCTGTATGTAACTCAAGAATAACCTTTCGACTTCCTCCACAGCGGCGTCATGGCCTGCGCGACCACGTTCCCCGCCGTCTCCAACACACCCTTCAATTCCTCATCCATCACCGTGAGGAGTACGCCCCGCGCCTTCCATTTGTCCGGGTGGAACATTCGATGTACGCGTTCGATAAGGCTGTTGTACTCCGCGACGTTGTCCGCCATCTGCGCCTTGGCACGCGCAAAGAACGCCTCGACCGCATCCCAGTCAATCTGCTCGATGTCCAAGTCAAGTGGATCAGTGAGAACCGGCCACGGGATTACGCGGAACGTCAGCGGCTGGGCCTCGGAGAACTTGATCCTGTCGAACTCGTCCATCTGTAGGCGCAGCCGCTCCAGGGCGCGGGCAGGCGTCCACACACCGGCGCTCCACCGCTCCTCGTCGCGCTTTGCGCACCGCGCTTCCTCCGCTTGCGTCGCGGCCTTCCAGCGTTGCTCGCGCTCGCGTTTTTCGCGCGCCTCCTTCGCCTTTCGTTCGCGCTCAGCCGTCTCGCGCGCCTTGCGCTCCTGCTCCTCTTTCTCGTGGCGTGCCTTCTCTTCTGCCTCGCGGCGCAGGTGCTCGGCCTTCTCGGCCTTCTCGGCCTCCTCCGCAGCGCGTTTGCGCGCTTTCTCCTGTGCCTGGAGCTCGCGCATCTTGCGGCGCGACTCCTCGAGCTCCGCCGCGCGGCGCCGCTCTTCATCTTCCGCGACCTCCGCCTTCTCGTCCACCTCGCGCTTCT